GTTTGTGGTTGTAATGTGACAAAATATGGAAAAGTTCAAGGGGTATGAATACTTTTGCAAACCACTGTACATGGTCAGAGAACGGCCATGCTGTTCCAGGAAGCTTTCACAATTCCAATTGTAATTTTCAATTGAGAAAATGCTTCCTGGATCAGAAGCAAAACATCTTCAGCCTCAGAATAAAGGTTCAGTTGTTTTGTTTTACAACTTTCTTTTAGATTGATCAACACCTGGATGACTGAGACTCTTCACAAGCAAAGGACAGACCTCACCTAACAGTCCTGATCAAACAGACTCCAGAGGAAAATCAAACGGCACAAACCTTTTTCAGTCCTGTGGACACGGCAGCTTCCTGCASAGCAGACCTGCGGAGCCACTGTGTTTTTTCAGTTTGTGTTGGAGTGTCGCTCTCSGTCAGGCACAAACTGTAAACCACATAGGTCTGGTGAATGTGCGAAAAGATGTGAACGACCTGAAAAACAGACAAATCACAACAGCACTCATCCAGAAAAGTCACATCTTATTATGAGTGAATCAGACAGATGACTGTTGAATTTACCTCTCCAACAYACTGGAGGAGGCGTTCAGTTAAACAGGTTCTCAGTATTTTGTTCAGTTCATTACACAGTGCCCTCTTCTGTTTCACCTCAGAGTTCTTCTCCTGCACTTGAAGACTGGGAAACTCCCACAAACCTGCCAGCAAACCTAAGAACACATTGGGACACACAAAGTGTTAAATTGCTGGGCAAACTAAAGAACTGCCTGTACTATTAGGGGGCGGGGTGTGATTGACTTGCTCTCAAAGGGCCAGTTATAATTTACTTTGACGTTTCKTGTTTAACTTCGACTAAACAGCMTTTTAACACTTCCTCTTAAAACACTGAAAAGTACTAAGTGTACAACTGACTAAATCTGAAATAAATAATASAGAAATAATATTAAAGGGGCAATATCATGTAAAACGTATAGTGAGGGTCTGCTGGGAACATCTGGTAGASTCTCCWATCAGACGGAKCTTCAACTCACACCTCYGGGRGAACTTCGAACACGTTCCGGGGGAGGTGGGGGACATTAAGTCCAAGTGGGCCATGTTTCRTGCCTCCATTGTCGAGGCGGCTCACCTGAGCTGTGGCCGTAAGGATGTCAGTGCCTGYCGTGGCAGCAACCCTCGAACCCRCTGGTGGACATCGGCGGTGAGGGATATTTTCTGGCTGAAGGAGTCCTATCGGGTCTTTTTGGCCTGTGGGACTYCGGAAGCAGCCGATAGATATCGGCAGTCAAAGCGGATTGCRGCYCGGGTGGTCRCTGMGGWAAAATCTTGGGCRTGGGAGGAGTTCRGACAGGCCATGGAAAAAGACTTCCGTAYGGCTTCGAGGTGAYTCTGGTCCACCATCCGGCRTCTCARTGAGARAAAGCGGTTCGCCACCAACACTATTTATGATGAGGATGGTGMGCTGCTGACCWCAACTCGGGACATTGTAGGCCGGTGKGCAGAATACTTGGAAGACCTCCTCAATCCCACCGACACGTCTTCCCATGAGGAAGCAGAGTCTGAGGACCCTGGGTCGGATTCTCCAATCTCTGGTGCCGAGGTCAGTGAGGTGGTTAAAAAGCTCCTCGGTGGCAGGGTGCCAGGGGTGGATGAGATTCACCTGGAGTTCCATAAGGCTCTGGATGTTGTGGGGTTTCACTGGTTGATGTGACTCTACAATATCGCGTGGACATCGGGGGCAGTTCCCCTTGATTGGCAGACCAGGGTGGTGGTCCCCCTATTTAAAAAGGGGGACCACAGAGTGTGTTCCAACTATAGGGGGAATCATACTTTTGAGCCTCCCTGGTAAGGTCTATTCGGGGGTTCTGGAGAGGAGGGTCCATCGGATAGTTGAATCTTGGATTCAGGAAGAGCAGTGTGGTTTTCGTCCTGGTCGTGGAACAGTGGAGCAGCTTTACACCCTCAGCAGGGTCCTGGAGGGTGCATGGGAGTTCGCCCAACCAGTCTACAAGTGTWTTGTGGACTTGGAGAAGGCGTTTGGCCGTGTCCCTCGGGGACTCCTGTGGGGGGTACTCCGGGAGTATGGGGTACCAGGCCCGTTGATATGGGCTGTTGGGTCCCTGTACGACCAGTGCCAGAGCTTGGTCCGCATTGCCAGTAATAAGTCGGACTTGTTTCCGGTGAGAGTTGGACTCCGCCAAGGTTGCCCTTTATCACCGATTCTGTTCATAATGTTTATGGACAGAATTTCTAGGCGCAGCCAAGGTGTTGAGCGGATCCGTTTTGGTG